CCTGGCCCCAGGCAGGCAGGGGTGGGGAGAGGCAGGGAGGAAGCAACTTACCCTCCCTCTTCTTCTGCCTCCTCCTGGCTGAATGAGGGCCGGAAGCGGGGCGGCCGGAAGCAGGGGGCGGGGCTTCGTCATGTGCCCCGCCCCCCGGTACCTCACCCGGGGGAACTGCGTTCCCCCGCGTTCCCCCCCGAAATGACCTCTGGCCGCCACCACCATTTGCATGGGCTCCTGGGCTGCCAGAGCAGTGCTCCGGCGTGCTCCGGCCCCAAAAGACCCCTGATTTCATAGTTATAGGTATTAACTCTGCGAGATGTTATAAGTACTGTTCCTTTAAGTCGCTGTGATGCTTGCTCTATCTCTTTTTGGAAAGCACAACAGCCTGCTGCATCTCTCATCATTGACGACTGCTGCATCTCTCATCAGTCTCTCATCACACGCAAGGCAGTCTACAGCACTGAAACCTGTCTCTGTAGCTGCGGACTTTTCTACTAGATATATAAAGTTCTTTAGGTTTTTGTAGAAGAAGAAGAGGAGGAGGAGGAGGAGGAGGAGATTGGATTTATACCCTGCCCTTCACTACCCGAAGGAGTCTCAGAGTAGCTGACAATCTCCTTTCCCTTCCCCTCCCCACAACAGACACCTGTGAGGTGGGCAGGGCTGAGAGAGCTCTGACAGAAACTGCTCTTTTTCAAGGACAACTCTTGTCAGAACTATGGCTTGCCCAAGGTCATCCAGCAGCTGCATGTGGGAATGATGTTAAAGGCCGCCCCCTAATTAAAAGCCTGGTGGAAGAGCTCCGTTTTACAGGCCCTGCAGAACTGCAAAAGGTCCCGCAGGGCCCTGATGTCCTCCGGGAGCTCATTTCACCAGTAAGGGGCCGCCACAGAGAAGGCCCCGCCCCTCGTTGTGGCCAGCCTGGCTTCTTTCAGGCCTGGGAGAACCAAGCGATTTTGGGATCCCGATCTCAGTGCTCTCTGGGGGGCATACGGCTTCCCCATAACATTCCTTTCCTGGAGGCCTGGAGCCAAGAACTGTCAAATGGAAGCAACCCTCAGGAGGGCTCGGCCAACCAGCCTAGCCCAAGTCCCGACTACCTGCCCCGCTTCAATCCCAGCTCCGAGAGAGATGATTAATAAAAATAACACAGCGTGAGTCCCTCCCACCCCGTAACATTGCGAGAAGCACCGACCGTCAAAAGGGCTAAGATACAACTTAGGAATCCGCCTCACCGGCAAGAGGACGCGGACTCGTTGTCTGGACTAAATATTCACAACACTGATTAACTAGGAAGGAGTCTATTATATTTGGCAGGAGTTTATAAGATTAAATACGCAAGATGTTTGCCCGGGGCTATTGCGTAACGACAGAAGGCGGTGCCGAACCGATGCCTGAATATATACATTGAACCCGGGCAAAATGAGTCAGGCGGCCACAGTGGGGAGAGAAGGAGGAGGACCGGGGGGCCAAACGTCCACCATGGAGCTGGCGAGCGCGCTCACCGTCATCCTGGCCATCTGCTTGGTGGTCATCACGGCCAAGAGGAAAATGTCTTCCCACGGGAGGCTGCCCCCCGGGCCCACCCCCCTGCCTCTGATTGGGAATTTCCTGCAAATCAAAGCTGCAGAAACCTGCAAATCTCTCATCAAGGTGAGTTAAGAGAACCCGTGAATAGGCCGTGCAAAGAGGCATCGCCGGCTTCATTCAGCTTCGAGGGAATTGCCGGGGTTTGTGGAGGGGGACAGGATGCAGGTTTGCAAAATTATTCACAGGTTGGAGAGAGTGGACAGAAAGAACTTTTACTCAGCCTTCCACAATACTAGGGCATCCGAGGAAACTGATGGGCGGTGGATTCAGGCTGGACCAAGCAAAGACAGCTTTTTAAAACAGTATTAGAGAGATTCATGGAGGAGAGGTCCATCCGTGGCTACTAGTCATGGTGGATAAGGGGAACCTCCACACTCAAAGGCAGTCAGCCTCTGAGCCCCAGAGCCAGGAGGCAACATCAGGAGAAGACCACAGCTTCTGTGCCCTGTTGTTGGACCTCCAGAGGAACTGGTTGGCCACCGTGTGAGACGGGAGGTGGGACTAGAGGGGCCCTCACCAATGTTCCCTCTAAGCTGTGGAGAGTCCTGTGAGCAAAAATTCTGCTTTGTGAGCTACTGGCATTAAAGTTGTGAGCGAGCGATTGGGCTACTGCCTACATTCGTTTGCTCTGAGAGCCCTCCTTCCTGAGCTAAGACAAGAATGTGTGAGCCGGAGGCTAAAAAACTGTGAGCTTAGCTCACACATGACTCAGCTTAGAGGGAACACTGGCTCACTGGTCTTATCAGGCTGCTGTTTTCCCTTCACCCTGCCCTTTGCCTTCTATCCACCTCTCCAAAGGTTTGTCGACCCCTTTTCAGACCCCTCCGCCAACCACATGCCTCTCTGTACCTTCCTCTTGGTCTCCCTCCAGCCGGATAAATGTTGCTCTCTCCTTTGGCATCTCATTCCTTTGCCCGCTTCTCTTCTGTCTCTTCTTCTGTTTACGTTGACCGCAAAGGGCAGGAAAGGGTCTGCCAGTTCTCTCTCCCTGGAGCAATTTCACTTGGCTTGCCTCGTGGAACTCTTCAGCGTGGCATTCTGGGAACCCAAAGTGCCTGCCTGCTCCTCTCCCAGTGGAAGCTGGGCAAAGGACAGAATTTGTTAGATTGGCTGATCTGACTATCTGTACGGCCAGCTTTGCCGACTGGCTGCCGGGAAGAACAGGAGAGGCGGTGGAATGCTTGCCTGGCAAGGGGTGGATGCCACAGAACCCATCCGTTGTCGCACTAAAACCGGCTGCCCACTTTGCAGGGTCGTTGTCAGAATCCAGGAGACTTTGTGCGTCTGAGGAAGGGGTCCCTTGCCCAGGAAAGCTTCTGCTTCGAGAAATCTGTTAGTTTTTAGGTGTCCTCTTGGAGCTAAAGGATAACCCTTGGGACACTCAGGAATGGCGAGAAGATGTGGAGAGGCAGGCAGGTACAAATCCTCTCCACAAACAGACAGAGATAATTCCTTTGCTTCCAAATGCTCTGGCAAACAAAGGTGTTCCTTTATGACAGCCCCTTTTGAAAGCTTTATCGTGGAAATCTGGCCTTCGGCTGCCGTTTGGTTTCCTAGCAAACCCCTTTCCCCCCTTCCCAGTTTGCTCCCTTTCTTCCTTCTCTGTCCTCAAGTAATTCGTTCACTCAAATGTGCACTAAGAGGAACCCCCCCTCTCTCACCCTCCCCCCCCAGTATTGGTTCCAGTATTTTGCAAGGGTCTATTCTTGAAATCACTTCTTTACCTTTGTTCTCCTT